TCCGCTGGCCTGGGGCGGAGCTCCAAGGACCCGGGGCGACGCTCCTCCGTGTCACCGGAGGGGGCGGAGGCACGGTCCGCGCCCTGACGCCACAAGAGGTTTGGCGAGTGCAGGGAGGGACCAACGACGAGTGGACCCACCTGCAAGCCCAGGGCTTCACCGAGGACGAACTCCTGAAGGGCGCAGCCAGGGCGCTTCCGCCGAGGACCGCGGAGGCAGTGCTGACCGCGGTGACGGAGGCGCTCGACAGCACCAGCACGCAGCGGGCCGGGGTGCGCCATGATCCCGAGGAGCAAGCTGCGTGGGAGGCCACCAAGCGCTGGTTCCGCGCCTGGGCCCAGGCACCGGATCAGCCCGCCTTGGCGCTGGCAGCAGAGGACGAGGTGAGGGCCGGAGGAGCGCTCACCGACGAGATGCACAAGAACCGCCGGCGCGCCCAGGCAGTCCGCTTCAAGATGATCGACGAGGACACGCTCATCGGACCCCGCGAGGCCCCAGCCGCCGAGAAGGTCAAACTAGACAAAAGTGTGACACGCTCGAAAAGCCCTCGCAAAAAGAACCCTCGGCGTGCCAAAGAGATGCCAGCAACCGACCTGGTGAGGCCGCAAGCGCTGGGCGTAGCTCGGAAGACCAACTACCCCGGGAAGGAGCTCGCCCCCGCCGGCCGCGCTGAGCCTGGCGGAGCCAACTACGCCGGCTGGTTCGCGCAGCAGAAGATGGAGGCCATGCTGCAGAAACTCAGTGAAGGCACAAGGGCAGGTTACAAGGGAGGATGGCGGCTCTGGGTTGCCGTGCGCCAGGCGCAGGGGCTCAGCCCTTGGCTCCCAGGACGTGATCGCGAGGAGCGCCTGGCCGACGAGGAGGTGCTCATCAACTTCGCCGTCCTCCTAGCGCGGGTCGTCGGGAGGACCGAGGGGACCATCAAGCAGAAGCTCTTCGCGGTGCGCTACGCCCACCTGGTGGCCGGCTACTCGGACCCTCTGCTCCACAGAGGCCGCCTCTGGAGCACGCCGGCAGGGCTGAAACGCTGGCAGGGGCCCGAGACCAAGCGGAAGAAGCCCGTCACGCCAGCCATGCTCGAATGGCTCCGCGGCTTTCTCCAGCAGGAGGCCAAGCTCCCCGAGGAGGATGCAGTGGTCATCTGGGCGGCCATCGTGACAGCGTTTTTCTTCCTCCTGAGGGCCTCAGAGTACCTCCTCCAGGACGGGCGCTCGTGGCCCTTCGAGCGCGTGCTGCACGGGGAGGACGTGGAGCCCAAGAAGGAGGGGAAGCGCGTGGCCAGCTTCCAGGACGCCGACGAGATGGTGATCTACATCAAGGGCAGCAAGACGGACCAGCTCAACGTCGGGACGGCGAGGAACCACTACCGCGCCGGCACATCGCTCTGCCCGATCGCGGCGATGGAGCGGCTCCAGGCTCACCATCCTCAGCGGATAAAGGGCACCGAGGAACGGCTGCCCCTTTTCCGCTGGGCGTCAGGTACACCGATCCGCAGGGCAGAGGTGCAGCACTTCCTGACGGTCGCGGGGCTGGCCGCCGGCCTCTCCAGGGAAGAGATCGACAGCCATTCCCTGAGGATCGGCGGGGCAACTGCAATGTACCACGTGACCGAGGACCTCTCCCGAGTGCGCCGATTCGGGCGCTGGCAGTCGGACGCGTTCCACGGCTACCTGTGGGAGTCGCACGAGCCGATGAAGGGCATCTCCGGCAAGATGGCCAGGGACAACTCCTCGTTGACCAACCCGGCGAAGGACAGCGCCCCCAGCAGAGCTGCCGCCGGCGCCGAGAGCGCCAGGCGTGAGAGCCCATGAGAGGCCGCAGCGGGCGCCGCCGGTGCTTACGCACCTGGCGTGCGCCCAACCCAAGCCGCCGGCTTCACGCCGCGCGTGCTTGGGTGCAGCCACCAGCCACCTGCCCCGCCGGCGAGTAGCCGCGCGCTCGCAGGGTACACCCGCCCGCGCCTTCAGCACTGGCTAATACCTCACGGCAAAGCATGCGTGCAGGCCCGTCCGTCAGGGCCCCACTAGTGCCTGGGATACTGTGGGTCCCCTTGCAGCCCTGGACGAGGACCACGCTGGAACCCGCCTGGCACGCCGGCTCTCCATGCCAAGCCTGGGCGTGCCGGGCATACTGACGCCAGCTGTGCTACAGTAGCTGGCAGTCTGACGGCCCGGGTGGCCGCAGCGCTCGAATTCATGCGCAGGCACGGGCCCGCGCCCCAGCGCCGGCCCGGGGAACCCCCTCTGTCAGGGGCCGGACCCTGCCCGCCCCGTGCACTTTGGGCACCTGTGGAGGCGGGGAGCCGGGAGATCTGGAGGCCGCGGCGCAGACGGGGATGCCAAGTGCCGGCCCGTGCCAAGCGCCAGCGACGACACCCTCGGGCCTCAGCCCGAGGTCGGGCTCCGCCGGCAATCAAGGTACCGGCGCGAGCCTAAGGCCTAGCCTCACGGAGGACAGCCGCGCACGCCGGCATCAGTTGCCTGGCGGCAGTCGGCAGACAGAGGGCCAGTCGGGCCCCACACGCACGCCGGCGCGCACGCCAGGCGATGCGTGACTCAGTGCCTAGACGGCGCCGGCAACACAACGCCTGGCACCCAGTTTTGGCGACGCCCATCAGGGCGCCCACACAGCACGACGGCGCGTAGAACCCGCCAGGCGGCCAGTGTGCGGGGGCACCGGCAGCAGCACCAGTACTAGAACAAAGGCGGCGAGGCCCGCTTCGCGTGGCGGAAGGAGGGACCCGCCTGGCGTGTCATCGCCGGCGGGAGGAGCGTGCGGCCAGCGCAGCAGCAAAATGGGGGGGGCTGCACCGCTGCCGCCATCATCGTCATCGTCTCCTGAGGGCTCGCTTCAACCGCTTCGCGGCTGGCACGTCCCGCGGCCTTAAAGCAGGCCGCGCTTTCGCTAGCGCCGCACTGTGGGGGCGGGGTCTTAGTTGTTTGTCCTAAACGGTTGGACCCCGCCCTCCCCAGTCGGCTTGGGTTTCTCCTCTCCCTGCTCCTGCCTCTGCTTGCCCTTCCCTTTCCTCTCTCCCGCTCAAGCCTTCGGGGCTCAAAGCCCTCCCAGGGCCCAAAGGGGCCCTCTTTTGCCCGCCCACCCTGGGCTTTGCCTCGGTGTCCTACGGCACCGGCGGCGAGGCCCGCTTCGCGTGGCGGAAGGAGGGACCCGCCTGGCGTGTCATCGCCGGCGGGAGGAGCGTGCGGCCAGCGCAGCAGCAAAATGGGGGGGGCTGCACCGCTGCCGCCATCATCGTCATCGTCTCCTGAGGGCTCGCTTCAACCGCTTCGCGGCTGGCACGTCCCGCGGCCTTAAAGCAGGCCGCGCTTTCGCTAGCGCCGCACTGTGGGGGCGGGGTCTCCGGTGACGAATCCCAAACCGGCGCCCTCGCTTGAGACATCCTCACAAAACCGGCCCCGGGGGAGGTGCCCAGAGGAGCCCAGAGCGGCCTCCGGCACCGTTTCCGGACAGATCCGGTGGATCCGCCGACGAATCCCAAACCGGCGCCCTCGCTTGAGACATCCTCACAAAACCGGCCCCGGGGGAGGTGCCCAGAGGAGCCCAGAGCGGCCTCCGGCACCGTTTCCGGACAGATCCGGTGGATCCGGTGACGAATCCCAAACCGGCGCCCTCGCTTGAGACATCCTTACAAAACCGGCCCCGGGGGAGGTGCCCAGAGGAGCCCAGAGCGGCCTCCGGCACCGTTTCCGGACAGATCCGGTGGATCCGGTGACGAATCCCAAACCGGCGCCCTCGCTTGAGACATCCTCACAAAACCGGCCCCGGGGGAGGTGCCCAGAGGAGCCCAGAGCGGCCTCCGGCACCGTTTCCGGACAGAGATCCGGTGGATCCGGTGACGAATCCCAAACCGGCGCCCTCGCTTGAGACATCCTCACAAAACCGGCCCCGGGGGAGGTGCCCAGAGGAGCCCAGAGCGGCCTCCGGCACCGTTTCCGGACAGACAGATCCGGTGGATCCGGTGACGAATCCCAAACCGGCGCCCTCGCTTGAGACATCCTCACAAAACCGGCCCCGGGGGAGGTGCCCAGAGGAGCCCAGAGCGGCCTCCGGCACCGTTTCAGGACAGATCCGCTGGATCTGGTGGATCCGCCGACGACCGGCCCCGGGGGAGGTGCCCATGGAGCCCAGAGCGGCCTCCGGCACCGTTTCCGGACAGATCCGCTGGATCCGGTGGATCCGCCGACGAATCCCAAACCGGCGCCCTCGCTTGAGACATCCTCACAAAACCGGCCCCGGGGGAGGTGCCCAGAGGAGCCCAGAGCGGCCTCCGGCACCGTTTCCGGACAGATCCGGACAGATCCGGTGGATCCGCGCCCCGGGGGAGGTGCCCAGAGAAGGAATGAAGAGGAGGAGGAGGAGGAGGAGGAGGAGGAGGAGGAGGAGGAGGAGGAGGAGGAGGAGAAGATGATGGAGCTGCGGGGTGGAGGAGGACAGACGGAGGCAAGAGAAGGATGGAGGAGGAGGAGGAGGAGGAGGAGGAGGAGGAGGAGGAGGAGGAACCTCATCCTCACCCTCGCCAACAAGCGCACGCACCTTCTTCTATATACAGAAACCCCCGATCAACCGCAGAGCGGCCGGCTAGTATCATAGCGTAGACACGGGCGGCCCAAAATCTCTGAACAGGCTTCCTGGGCCGACGCCCCCGCTGGGGCCTCCATCTGACGATAAAGACGGCGAACGCGTCGAAGTACAAGGTCGCCCATATCCCAGAGGCGCTCCGGCGTGCACCGCGGCGCACTGCAACCCCCAAGCTGGTCGAGACACTCCACGGCGCCCCGAGCACGCCCCTCGATGGACTGAGCGCGTTGGAGACGCGCCCGAACTGAACGAGAGTCCGGGCGGAGGAGGCGGAGCAATTGGCGCAGCGGGCACAGCAAAGGGCAGCATCCCATCGCCAGGAGGACGGTCATCAGCGGACCGACAAAACTGGCTCTCACGAAACAGCGAACGGGTCGAGCTACCTCCCGTCCGCTGGCCCCATGTCACCCCTGCCCCTTCTTGCCAGAGGCGGCGCTCTTCTCCCCGCGTGCCTTCCCCCTCTGCTTCTGGATCTCGGCATCCCTGGCCAGCTGCTCGGTCGCGCACTTGGCGATCCCAGGCGCGACCGCGATCCCGCGGCGGGCACTCTGCTTCGAGCGACCGATGTAGTGGTTCGACCCCCATCGATCTTCATGCTGCCCATGGTCTCCTCCGCGAGCTGGTAGGTCCTGGCCACCACCCCCATGCAAGCCAGGTCCGAGCCATCGACCTGGTCGTAGGTCTGCGCGAACTCGATCGCGAGCCCGAGGAGGTCGTGGAAGTGCGCCGCCGCCGAGTCCTTCGCGCACCCGCTCTCGCTCATCCACTTGGTCTGGCGGCCGTCAGCCGCGCCGCCGTGCTCGACGATGTACTCACAGAGCCACTTGTAGCTCCGCTCTCCAATCGTCCAGCACCTCTTGTCGCATAGACGCCACCGACTCGCGGAAGTCGAGGTAGCGCCGTCCCTCACGGTTCCTGGTCAGCTGGCCCAGGAGCCGAGCGTCGCCCCCGTCCTCGCCAGCTGGTTGGGCAGGAGTCGCCGAGGGAACCAGCTCCCATGGGCACGATGAACCCAGAAGGCAGCCCGTGGAGCCCGCTCTCGCCCCAGACGACGTCGCCCGCGGTCGGGAGGATCTCGTCACCGCGCTTGATCTCGGTCCCCGCCGACTTGCCAGCGACCCAGGTCACGCCAGGAGGCGGCGCCTCCGCGCTGACCAGCACGCGGGCGCCAGCAGCCCCAGGCGGCGGGGCACGGGGCCCCCCGATGCCCGCGGGCTCGTCGTCGGCGTCATTCCCGAGTCCAGGTGGCGCCGCGACGGACGCCGGCAGAGGAGGGGCCGCCGAAGACGGGGGGCCTCCCGCCGCCGGCGCGAGCGCGGGTGCCTTCCGCGCCATCCGCCGATAGAAGCCAAGAACGTCCCCGAAACTGACCGTGGTGAAGCCCCCCAGCACGTCGCCGTTCCGCACGTACGTCGCAGGCTCGGCGACGTCCACGCCAGAGGCACGCATCTCACACCGAGCGACCCGCACCATGTCCAGCAGCTCCGCCTCCGAGGGATAGGCACGGAAGCGGTAGACGCGGCCCGCGGGCCGCTGGCGAGCGGGCGTGGCCCCGAAGGTCAGTGATGCCTGGTCGGGGCCGTCGCCGTCCGCGCCGCTGGCTCTCTCCTCGTCGTACACGTCGCCGTCGGGCGTGGCGATTGTCCACCGCGTCGCGGGCCGCTGCGAGTCGGCGGGCCAGATCAGCACGCGTTCGTGCCAGATGCCGCGGTCCTCGCCATAGTGGAAGGTGACGACGCGGCCTGGCAACAGCTCATTGAAGAACTCCGCCGCCTCGGCGGCGGTCCCCTCGGCCCTGTACGGCTGCAGGCGCGGCATCAGCGCCATGTCGACTCGAGCGACTCCAACTGTATCCCCGCACGCGCCCACGATCTGGGTAACGATGCCCGTCACGACGAGCCCGAGGGTGTGCGCGTAGAAGGACCCCGCGTCCGCGCCCTGCTGAGCATGCTGCGAGCGGACCTGGCGGAGCTCCGAGGACAGCAGCCCCAACTCCGCGTGGAGCCGCGCGAGGTCGCCCAGGCAGCTCGACAGGTTGCGGGCGTAGGCGGCCGCCCGCTCCGCCTGGCACGCCGCCGCCGCGGCCTGCGACGCCGCCGAGGGCGGTTCGCCAGGGGGGGCCCCCGCCGCCGCCGCCGCCGCGCACGAGGCCAGGCCACCAGGCGTCCAGCGCACAACAAGCACACACGAGGAGCCACGCGGGAGCCTCAAGGAGCGGGGGGCGCATAGAAACACAGGTGCCCCCTGGAGGTAAAAGGCTTGAGCGAAATAGAACGGACTCTGTGCATCACCCCCTACACGTTCGCAGGACAAGTCTCATCATCATCATCATCATCATCATCATCATCATCATCATCAGCAGCAGCAGCAGCAGCATCATCATCATCATCATCATCACCACCACCACCACCACCACCACCATCACCATCATCATCATCATCATCATCATCATCATCATCATCATCATCATCATCATCATCATCATCATCATCATCATCATCATCATCATCATCATCATCATCATCATCATCATCATCATCATCATCATCATCATCATCATCATCATCATCATCATCATCATCATCATCATCATCATCAGCATCATCATCATCATCATCATCATCATCATCATCATCATCATCAATCATCATCATCATCATCATCATCATCATCATCCTCATCCTCATCCTAATCCTCATCCTCATCATCAGCATCATCATCATCAGCATCATCATCATCATCAGCATCATCATCATCATCAGCATCAGCATCAGCATCATCATCAGCAGCATCATCATCATCAGCAGCAGCATCACCATCATCAGAATCAGCATCATCATCATCAGCAGCAGCAGCATCAGCATCAGCATCAGCATCAGCATCAGCAGTACCATCATCAGCAGCAGCATCAGCATCATGATCATGATCATCATCATCATCATCATCATCATCATCATCATCATCGTCATCGTCACCGTCATCGTCATCATCATCATCAGCAGCAGCATCAGCATCAGCATCAGCATCAGCATCGTCATCATCAGCATCATCATCATCATCGTCATCATCGTCGTCGTCGTCATCACCAGCAGCAGCAACACCATCTGACTCCTGACCTCTGATTATTCCGTGAGCCTGCATTGCCGCGCGCTGGCCTGGTCGAAGAGGATGTCCGCCGTAGCCTAGGTAGCATTGGAAGGAAGCAAATACAGAGTTGGAGATCGGGTCGACCATGCCCTACCAGGCAAACGATTGAGTGGATTTGGATACCCTCTGAGAACAACGTTTAAAAAAACGTATTACAAACTTGGAGGTCATTAAACCATGTTCTCCCCCGTATCTACTGGTGGCCCCTAGGGCATGGCTGAAGGGAGGAGAGCAGCAGTGGCAGATTGACTTCGATGAGAGCGAGTGCGGCGCGAGGGAGGCATGGGCCGAGGTCCGCGACCGTGCCGCGAGGCACTGAGTTGAGCGTAGCCCAGCCCCATCCTAGTCTCAACGCTGGGCGTTGTCACTACTCTTTCGGGCCCCAACCCTGGATGTGCGAAACACCATCGCGGTCTCGAGCGTTTCGCAAGCGCTCCGGGGCGCTTTAGGGGCTTGTAGCATGAGTTAAGTGGCCAGGGAGCGCAAAAACCAAGCGGGGACCCGAGACGACCAGAGAGGGCTCCAACACAACCCAAGATAGCATCAAGACGCCGCAAGGGGCCCCCAAGACGCCCCTAAGGGGTCCCAAGCGGAACCCCAAGAGAGCATCCACATGGCTTACGTCTTCGCGTCAAATTTGGCGTGTCCTGGTTTTGAAGCTTCCGAACAAAATCAACCCAATACGGAGCCCAAATCCCCCAAAGGAAGATAGACGGGTTGACAAAAGGAGCACCTGTGATTCTTAGTTTCCATCTGGCAATCATACCGCCTCGCAAGTGCGCACACATCCGTGAGCAATCCCAACTCACCGAACAGACTTGAGAATGCATCCCTCTTGAGCGAACAAACACGCGACGGATACGCTGCCCGTGGGCCCATCGATTACAAACGGAAGCGTTCACGTTCCAAAAACGTGCTCAGGCTTCCCAATGGATCATAGAGTAGCTGCAGGGGTCATGCACACAAGAGGGAACCCAGAGCACTTTAGATGCGGTTATGACTGGCAATGACACTCCATGTCTGTCTCTTTACCTGTAAGACCACCTTCGGGTGGTAAGGACGTTGGGGGGTTGGCGGGGATTGGTGTTTCTGTACGTTTGTGAATGGCCTCGGGTCGGGGCTATGACATGTGTATATCCGCCAGCCCCCTCGGGAACCAACAAGCTGCACGGATGAGGTTTCTTGTACCCGTTCCAGTTTCCGTTTAATACAGAAGCGCTCACATATATACGAAAACCCATTGGTGATCACCACGAACATATCACCGTGTCGAGGTTTCTGCGGGCAAGCACTTTCTCGTCACCCTCATCAGCGCACGCGTTATCATGATCGTCAGCGTCATCATTGCCATCGTCATCGCCGTCATCGTCCAGGGTCAATGTCATCACTGTCATCGTTAAATCCTGCGCCCTCGTCAAATTTCTGCGCGCGGGCACTTCCTCATCGTCACCATCGTCAGCAGCAGCAGCAGCAACACCATCATCATCTTCGTCGCCAGCGTCAGCGTTGCCACTGTCATTTTAATCACCATTATCCTCATCACCATCACCATCGTCGTCGTTGACATTGTATCGCCGCCCATCTCCACTGTCATCGCCATCGGCATCAGCGTCATCACCACTGTCACCGCCATCGTCGCTGGCATCGCGCTCGTGACCATCCCCACCACCATGTTGCGACTGGACTCGTCTGCGCGTTTGAGTTCCACGCGCCCGTGGGCTCGCTGAGATCATGGCCGTATGAGCTTTGCCAACATATTGCGGGCGGGAGGGTGGGATGTTTGCACGAGCAGTGGAGTTGTCGGCTTCATCATCTGCGCAGAGACAATTATCCCAGTGCGACCCTACCTAGGAGTTGGAGCCCCTAGGAAAGCAGCATTAGTAGTAACAGTAAAGCTAAGCTAAAGCTAAGCTAAAGCTAAGGTAAAGCTAAGCTAAAGCTAAGCTAAAGCTAAAGCTAAAGCTAAGCTAAAGCTAAGCTAAAGCTAAGCTAAAGCTAAGCTAAAGCTAAGCTAAAGCTAAGCTAAAGCTAAGTTAAAGCTAAGCTAAAGCTAAAGCTAAAGCTAAGCTAAAGCTAAGCTAAAGCTAAGCTAAATCTAAGCTAAAGCTAAGCTGAAGCTAAGCTGAAACTAAGCTAAAGTTAAGCTAAAGCTGAGCTAAAGCTAAGCTAAAGCTAAGCTAAAGCTAAGCTAAAGCTAAGCTAAATCTGAGCTAAAGCTAAGCTGAAGCTAAGCTAAAGCTAAGCTAAAGTTAAGCTAAAGCTAGGGTTAAAGTTAAGCTAAAGCTAAGCTAAAGCTAAGCTAAAGCTAAGGCTAAGGCTAAAGCTAAAGCTAAAGCTAGAGCTCCCAAGGGACTGGGGGAACCGCTCCCAAGGGACTGGGGGAACAGCCCGGGGCGGACAACACTGCCCGGCCCCTTTAAGATAGAGAGTAAGAACCCTTCTAGGCAGAGCCTAGGTAGGGAACATCACCCTTCAGATGTACCTTAGAGTCTCTTGAGGTTCTCTGGGGCCGTCTTGGAGCCTCTGTGCCCAAGCCCGAGAAAACCGTCATGGCCCGAAAAAAAACGTATGCGTTTGTACACAGGAGGCCCCCAAGACCGGCCCAAGACGGCCAAACGGGCCCCCCAAAGGGGCACAGGGCTCCCCCAGGGAGGCCCCGAGATCGACCCGAGAGGGGGAGCTCGAGGGTGCCCAGGGGCTCCTCGAGATGGCCCTCGAGACCGCCAGCAAGCCCGCAAGAGACCGCCAGGGAACCCAGAAAGGTCCCAAGGAGGCCTCCGAAGTTCCACAGAGGCATCCCAAGAGGCCCCAAGAGCTCTCCAAGAGGCCTCTAGCACGCAACCCAGGCACAGTCGTGGGATGGGCCGAAAGCAATTAGATAAGAAAGCACTCATGTCGCAACTCGTCGTGAATCCCCGGAACCTGGTTGTACAGGCACACCGTACCATCCTGGAGAGGCACGAAGCAGTCCGGCTGGCTGGTGTTCGGGAACTGGTCGTAACTGACAGGCGTCCCTCCTTGGCCCTTCTTCTATCAACCATCGCAGGCAATTGCAGCGCTGTACCAAAACATCGTCAGAGAGGCTCAAGGTGTTCCTCCTGTACTTGCTGATCCTTCTCCTCCTAGAGGGAGAGGCATGAGATATAGTAGAGGAGGATTGGAGGATGAGGATGAAGCACAGGAGGTCTGGATGTCCTCAGCGACCCCATCAAACCAATGAAATGAGCGCTCTTGTCATGACTGTTGGTGTTTCTGCACATTTCGAAAAAAGTCGAACGACTGCTATACCGAAGATACTTCTGCATGTATATGCGATCTCAATACATCAATATTCTCTCCATGCCCCGGACCCTTGTGTACAGTTCTCTGTCAATAAGGCAGCAGCTGCTCCAACTGCCCAGCGAGGCCCAACGACGAGAATAGCAAGCACAATGTATCATTTTCCAATTCTCTCTCCCATCCCCTCCCTGACCCATCTTCCCCCTGAATCTTCTCCTGCCCTCCCCCCCCCCGCCCATTCCGAGACCCCCCTCCAGTTCCATCCAAGGTTCCACTCACAAGCTGCACTCGTCTCATCCTCCTGCCACGGTCACTTGTCAGCGGCCAGCTCGTTGATTTCGGTCATGTACTTCGCACACTCAGTACCGTCGTATGCCGATACGTCGATTGCGGTGGGATCGGGGCTCGCGCCGCACGGCACTTCCACCCACGAGGTGTGCTTCACGCACTGCTTGCCCTTTCCATCCTTGGAAGGATCCACGTACCTGGTGAACTTCGCCCTCTTGCACCTGCCGTATCCGCCGTGGTAGGCATCGTCCAGCACGCACCCGGGGGTCCAACCCATGGTCAGAGTCTGCTTTTCCGTCAAACTGTACTGATCGGACCAGGCCGATCCCCCACCGTAAGCCTGAGTGCAC